AAGAACAAGGGGCCACCAAATGAAATTAATAGGTAGCAGGTTTAAAACAAACACAAGAAAGTATTTTTTCATGCAACACACTGTCAATCTCTGGAACTCCTTACCAGAGGGTGTTGTGAACGCCAATACTATAACAGGGTTCAAAAGGGAGCTAGATAGATTCATGGAAGATAGGTCCATCAATGGCTATTAGCCAGGATGGGCAGGAATGGTGTCCCTAGCCTTTGTTTGCCAGAAGCTGGGATTGGGTGACAGGGCATGGATCACTTAATGATAACCTGTCTGTTCATTCCTTTTGGGGCACCTGCCATTGGCCACTGTCAGAGAACAGGATATTGGGCTTGATGGACCTTTGGTCTGACCCAGTATGGCTGTTCTTATGTTGATTAGTAAGTGACACTAAACAGTTAGTAAACTGGGACTTTAATTTTTTTGCATTGGAGATAAGGAAAACAATAATGCAATGTTAATGTGTGAGATCAAGGCCTCAAAATCATACCTGCCTATGATGGAGAATTGAAAAGCCTGAGATCTTTTTCTTACCAGACTCATGTGCTCTCCTGTTTCCCCCCCCCTCACACCTGAAATAAAAAATAATTTCAATTTTATTTAAACTCAAATAATGGATTCATCCTTCATTTTAAGTAAGGGCAGATAATTGTAGGGATCAGTAGTTCAGGACCTATGGCTCCAATCCTGCAAACACTTAAATGTGTAAGTTTGACAGTCCAACTCAAATGGGACTACTCACTTGAGTAAAGCTACAATATTTTCAGGATCAGGCCCTGCTAGGACTCTCTGTTTCCCTTTAATTCTCTTCAGCATAATAATTTTCATAGGTAGGTCCTGTGCCTGTGGTATCTGTAGTTGAAAGTTCTGAGGTTTTACAGACCGCTCTGGGAGCCTGAAATATTACTCAGCAGTCTGGGTCAAATTATAAAATCTCAGTTTAAAATTGAAAAGACTACTCACAATTTTAAAAAACAAAATCTGTCTGAAAATACTTAATCTCCTATAATTACAGGTACCCTCTAAGATTACTATAAAAGAAAGAGAATAATTTTTTTTCAATTTTATTTTGTGCATTTGAGAACACTGTCAGTAGAGCTTGCTGAAATGGTTCAAATGGCAAAATTTGAAAAACAGGGCAAAATGTTTATGAACATATATCCTCACCACCATCACCCTGTTTTTCAACCACGGATTGAGCTGGTAACAAATATTTTTTTTAAATGTACCAAAGACAAAGGAATGTTTTATAATTCTTTTGGCAGCTCTAAGAGTCATTTCAGCATTTACACTTATTGTCATTTTCTGTGATGTTGCGGGTGGCATCTTTCACTTTGCAGCAGAGGAGAGGGAAACAGAGGGAAAGAGGATTGTGAAGCCACAATGATTTACGGGGATTTCAGTGGGGAAGGTGTAGATCCCAAGGCTGTTTAACTCTTTAAAACTCAGGTGTGGCCGAGCGGCCACATCCCTCCAGTCTATGCCAGTAGGGCTCCAGCTCTTTAGACCACGTCCTAAAGCTCTAGCCTTCCCTCCCCACTCCAGGGTTCTCAAAATATTGCCCGCGGGCAGGTCGCCTCACGCCAACGCTGGTGGTGGTTGGTGTTTTCTCTTCAAGTCCCAGCTGCTGGAGTCCAGGGATGAGGAGAAAATCTCTCCTTTTTCCATTATAAAAATACCTTCCAGGTATCCACTGAAGGCGGCTGCGGGGGAAGGCGCCCCCCCCCACCTGCTCAGGTGACTCTCTCCACCCGCCCCCATCTCTCGATGTTTAAGCTGGGGGGGCGGAGGTGACTCGTGATTCTGATCGCGTGGGTGCGGCCCTGCAGAAGCCCACGCGTGGCGGTTTGACTTGTCCGCGCGGGGCTGAGGGGAGCGCCCAGGTGTCCCCTCTCAGCGCCAACCATCGTGCCTGAGGGGGCCCCCGCCCCACTCACTGGTGGAAGGAGATGCCCCGCTTCCGGCTCAGCCCGGTGTCCCGCGTGGTGCAGCCCAGAGCGGAGCAGCTGCGGGTCATGGTCCGCGCGCAGGCAGGGCACGGCCCGGGGGGATCCTCGCGCCGCACAGCACCCGGCCGCCCCGCGCACCCTCGGCCACGTCCCGCTGGCGCGCGGGGCCAAGTCCGGAGCCCCCACTCCCGGCACTAGGGAGCGCTCCCGTCACTGCCAGCGCTGATGGAACGCGCCTTCAGATTGGTGAGCGCCTCTTCTCTGCCCTTTCTGATTGGTTCTCGCTTTTTTTTTTTCGTTCGCTAGCCCCTGCGCTATGGAAGAGAGGCTTTCATTGGTCGCTGTCCTCCCCGCGTTCCTGTGACCACACCTCCTCAGCGCCGGACTGTTTGCGACCCCACCCCACATGGCTAAGCGGAAGCAGGAAATAGAGGGGGAAGAGAAAGGAGAGTTGAACCAATCAGAAACGGCGCAGGAGGAGGCAGCCAATCAAACCCAGCGTACTTGGAGCCAATGGAAGCGGCGCTCTCTGTCTGGGGGAGGCTATATCCGGGTTACTGGTCGCGTGCCCCTTCCTTTTCGTTTCTAGCTGCTGTGGGGCGTGTAGCGCTGGCGCGGAGCGGGGCACCAGGCTTCTCCATGGGGAAGGCGCTGCCCGAGGGGACGCTGCCCAGCCCCCAGCCAGCGCCATGGGCTCCAGGCGGGGAGGCGCTGAGGCAGTCGGGGCGCCACGTGGCGGCTCCGCGCCCGCCGCCTGG